CGAGCCGGGTTCAGCAACGGAGGGTCAGATCAAAGGAGAATACAAAGAATAGTCAAGTCACAAGCCGAATCAGATACCAGGAGAGTCACGAGAGTCAGAACAGAGTAATAGCAACACAAAGACACAAGACACAAGTGCAAAGAGCATGTGCGGGCCACAGGCTATATGTCATCAGCCACGCCCCTCTGGGGGGGTGGACCTCAGAGACCTGAAGGCATAAAAGGATTCCCACCATGCACAGCAGAATCCAAGATGGACGCCAGCACTCCTGACCCCTGCACTATATACTCTATGTTGTACATTACATACTCCTGACCCCTGCACTATATACTCTGTTGTACATTACATACTCCTGACCCCTGCACTATATACTCTATGTTGTACATTACATACTCCTGACCCCTGCACTATATACTCTATGTTGTACATTACATACTCCTGACTTCTGCTCTCCCCCCTCCCCCCACTGCTATATATACACATAATATGGATTCTCTTTTGTTCCCCCCATTTCCTCCCACCTGGACATTTTATATCGGATGATGTGATTGGAGCACAGACTTTTACATGGTGATAATAATGTGATAACATCCTCCAACTTTGGACCCTTAAACAGAAAGTGATAATGAGGGAGGAGTCAATACCCCAATGATGGTGGTCTTCAGGATCAGTCCAGTCTTCATCTTGGTTGTTCTCCCCCCATCCTCACTCTCTGACCTCTGGTGGGGCTCAGCCCCGCTGTTCTTTATGACTAAATCATGGAGTAAATAAGGAAGTGCAGTACTTCTTGTGTTGGGAAGATGGCGATGAGTGATAGAGGGGGTGGGGACCCTCGTCCTATAATCCCCTCATCACTGTCCCTCCTATAAAAGACAGTTCTGGTTGTTTCCTCACTCTCTGACTAAGGTCCATGAATAAAGAAATGACCTGGTAGGAGATCAGAGGAGCCATTTCCTAGTTCCCTTGAGGGTGGAATTGTAAGCTCCTCAGAGACCAAGCTGCCTGATGTGGGCGGAGTCCTGGTTTGGGGGAACCAATCCGCTCCTGTCTAGTAATCCTCTTTGTCTTTGTATTTTAGTCCATGGCCGGGAGATGAGGAAAACCTCCGAGGATTGTCTCACTTTGTCTCCAGACTGGAAAGTAGAAGATGAGGACATCACACAGTATAGTCCAGGAGAAAACCCGGCTCCCTCCAATGTCCATCCGGCACCACCCAGTGTAGATGGACCATCGGATTCCTCGTATCCTGAGGAACCTCAGACTGTGCGGGACCGGGCCGGCCTTCCAACAGGGAAGAGGTTCTCCTGTCCTGAGTGCGGGAAGGGTTTTTCATTGAAGTCCAGTCTTTACAGACATCATAGATCTCACACAGGGGAGAAGTCATATTCCTGTCCTGAGTGCGGGAAATGTTTTTCAGGAAAGTCTGATCTTTACAGACATCAAAGATCTCACACAGGGGAAAAGCCGTATTCCTGTCCTGAGTGTGGGAAATGTTTTTCAGAGATGTCCAATCTTCATAAACATCAGAGATCTCATACGGGGGAGAAGCCGTATTCCTGTCCAGAGTGCGGGCAATGTTTTTCACATAATTCCAGTCTTCAAACACATCAGAGATCTCACACGGGGGAGAAGCCGTACTCCTGTCCTGAGTGTGGGAAATGTTTTTCAGAGATGTCCAATCTTCATAAACATCAGAGATCTCATACGGGGGAGAAGCCGTATTCCTGTCCAGAGTGCGGGCAATGTTTTTCACAGAAGTCCCATCTTTACACACATCAAAGATCTCACACAGGTGAGAAGCCGTATTCCTGTCCTGAGTGTGGGAAAAGTTTTTCAGAGAAGACCAGTCTTTACACACATCAAAGATCCCACACAGGTGAGAAGCCGTATTCCTGTCCTGAGTGTGGAAAATGTTTTTCAGATAAGTCCAGTCTTCACAGACATAAGAGATGTCACACGAGGAAAAAAGCCATTTTCCTGTCCTGAGTGTGGGAAATGTTTTTCACAGAAGTGCCATCTTTACACACATCAAAGATCTCACAAGGAGAGAAGCCGTATCTTTGTCCTGAGTGTGGGAAATGTTTTTCAGTGAAGTCCAGTCTTTACACACATCAGAAATCTCACACGGGGGAGAAGCCATATTCCTGTCCTGAGTGCGGGAAATGTTTTTCAGTGAAGTCCCATCTTTACACACATCAAAGATCTCACATGGGGGAGAAGCCACTTTCCTGTCCTGAGTGTGGAAAGTGTTTTTCAGATAAGTCCAATCTTTACAGACATCAGAGATCTCACACAGGGGAGAAGCCGTATTCTTGTCTTGAGTGCGGGAAATGTTTTTCAGTGAAGTCCAATCTTTACACACATCAGAGATCTCACACAGGAGAGAAGCCATATTCTTGTCCTGAGTGTGGGAAATGTTTTTCACAGAAGTCCCATGTTTACATACATCAAAGATCTCATACGGGGGAGAAGCCACTTTCCTGTCCTGAGTGAGGGAAATGTTCCTCACTGAAGTCCTGTCTTCCTGTACATCAGGGATTATAACAGGGTAGACAGATCAGACAGGGGTCAGTACTTATTGGGGGGTGGAATGGGAAAAGATGGAAGAGGGCTATGGCAGATGATAAGAAGGTTCCCATGTTACAAATAACCAGTGGAAATGGTACCATTTGTATGAAAATAAAAAAACACAAAATCCGTGTAAATCCGTGTGAAAACAAGGTGTCGTGAATGAACAAGGTGTGAATGAAAGTGTTGAATGAACAAGGTGTCGGTGAATGAAAGTGTTTGTTCACCAATGCCAGAAGTGTGCCCAGCACAATAGGTGAGTTGGAAGGTTTGGTGCATGAAGAGAACTAGGATTGAATTGGTATTGCTGAATCTTGGCTTCATTCCTCACATGACTGGGCCATTCATATTCCTGGCTAGGTTCTCTTTCGGAGAGACGGGGGAAATAGGAAAGGTGGTGGAGTCTGTCTCTATGTGAGAAGTGATCTCAGAGTGAGTGTGAAAGAGGACCTAGTTGATGGAGAGTGTGTAATGAGGCTGAAGTATTATGGGTGGAACCAGGGGTGGACTGACAACTCCTGGGGCCCCCGGGCAATAGGGGATCATGGGGCCACTTTGTCCTTGCCCAAACTCAAAATAGCTAATGAAAAAGGTACCAGGGGCATCTCGTGGGTCCCCCTACTTACCCCGGGCCCTCGGGCAGTGCACGAGTTTCCAAATAGTCAGTCTGTCCCTGGGTGGAACTGCACATGGGGGGCGTACTACAAAGGTCATCATTGTATTTTGTTATAGGCCTCCCAGTGTTAATGAGGAGGTGGAGACTCCGCTCCTCGCAAAGATGGAAAGGGCTGCAAGGGCTGGGACAGTGATAATAATGGGGGATGGGAACTACCTGGAAATTGACTGGAGTAATGGTACTGCAGGAACAGTTAAAAGACAGGAATGTGTAAACCTACTACAGGACAATTCTATGGTCCAGTTCATAGAAGCCCCAACTAGGAATAATGCTCTGCTGGACCTGGTCATCTCCAAACATGCAGAGCTTATTACGAATGTCCATAGAAAAGAACATCTGGGTAGCAGTGACCATAACATGATTTCATTTATTGTTAGCTGTAAACAGCGAGCACATACGGGAAAAAAAAAATGCTGAACTTTAAGAGAGCTAATTTTTAAAGGCTGAGATCTGCTTTCCATGACTTAGATGGTTAGGGAATATTGGCATCGATGAACACAACACAGAAATGGGAGTTCTTCAAAAAGACTGTATGTGACCACACTGCAAAATATATTCCCATGGGCAACAAGTATAAAAGGCTACAAATCCAACCTATGTGGCTTACGGCCAAAGTTACAAAAGCGATAGATAATAAGAAAAGAGCTTTTTTATTAAATATAAAAATGAAGGAACGCGATCATCGTTTACACATTACAAAGAATATTATTTACATGTTTCCCTCTGTACAATGCACATCCTCTGCCATTGAAGTGTTTACATTTGTTGGAATGGGATTGTGGATCCATCAATATGAGTGAGTTCCGGGGTCAAGAATGGCTACATTTGATGTCTTCTTATCAGGCGGACTTTTCCCAGAAGGAACAAACTGAAACAGAAATGTATTTCACTGTTTTTGAGGTTGGGAAAGCTCTTGGAAAAGAAATCGGCACTTTTTTTTGGCATAATAAAACATTCGATAAGTATGCCCGAGAAAAGATCAACCCACTTGGGTGGAGGATCCAGATCTTTCCCAACATTGAAAAAATAAGTGAGGAATTCAAGAGGGAACGGGAGGAAAGCCTACAATCATGCTCACAGCAAATGATGTCCATATTGGCTCCGGAATATAATAAACAGATGTTATCATTGGAGAAGGATATTGGAGATGCAGAGAGATTGTTATCTGCATTCACAACACATTCATTGTATTCTGATTTGGAGAGGAAACTTAGGGAAGGCCTAGCAGATTTGTACAAAATATCAACGAAAAAAAAGAATACATTTTGGTGAGATAAAACAGTGTTTTTGGAAGGAAAAGCATAAAGGTGGACGATCCCTCAGTACATGAACCTCCAGAGGAGGCGCTATCACCACACTACACAGGACACCTTAGAACATGAACCTCCAGAGGAGGCGCTATCACCACACTACACAGGACACCTTAGAACATGAACCTCCAGAGGAGGCGCTATCACCACACTACACAGGACACCTTAGAACATGAACCTCCAGAGGAGGCGCTATCACCACACTACACAGGACACCTTAGAACATGAACCTCCAGAGGAGGCGCTATCACCACACTACACAGGACACCTTAGAACATGAACCTCCAGAGGAGGCGCTATCACCACACTACACAGGTCACCTTAGAACATGAACCTCCAGAGGAGGCGCTATCACCACACTACACAGGTCACCTTAGAACAGTGGTCGGCAAGACGCGGCTCGCGAGCCACATGCGGCTCTTTACACACTTTAATGTGGCTCTTCTGTGTGCCGGGCGCCCGCTCCCCTCCCTCCTCTCGGGCGGGCCGCCCCAAAAGTCAGGACTCTGCAGCTAGCCTCTGTCAGTGCGCGCCCTGTGTGCAGCCCCCGGCGGCCGGCTCTACACAGCTCCAGTCGGGTCATGTGGTATAGGGGGGGCGTGACTTTCTGTGTAGCGCCGCGGCGGCGAGGCAGCATCCTCTCTCTGTCTGCCGCCCTCAGAAGAAGACTGTGCCTCCCAAATCAGCAGCGTGTCATCCGGTAGGTGTAGCAATGGCCTGGCCTGCCTGCCTCTGGGGACTCAATTTCTGTGACAGAAAAAGGAAGGGTTGGGGGGGAATGGAGGGGGGAGGGGATGAATATGAACGATATGCCTCTGGAACTTGGAAATGAGAGATGTGGGCAGGGCCAGGGAGAGACAAATGAAAGGGGTGACTGATGGCCATCATGGAGGGGGGGGATAATTATGAATTATGTACTCATATGAGAGATGTGAACTGTGAACAGGGCAAAAAGAAAGGGGTGACTGATGGCCATCATGGGAGGGGGGTGGTGATTATGAATTAAGTGTGCCTAACTATGGAAATGAGAGATGTGAACAGGGCAGGGTAAAAAGAAAGGCGTGATGGCCATCATGGGGGGGGGGGGAAATGTGACATGAGGGGGGAGAAATGTGACACGAGGGGCAGAAATGTGACACGAGGGGAGAAATGTGACACGAGGGGGTGAAATGTGACACGGGGGAGAAATGTGACATGGAGGGGCAGAAATGTGACATGAGGGGGGAGAAATGTGACACGAGGGGGCAGAAATGTGACATGAGGGGGTGAAATGTGACACGAGGGGCAGAAATGTGACACGAGGGGCAGAAATGTGACACGAGGGGGTGAAATGTGACATGAGGGGGTGAAATGTGACACGAGGGGAGAGAAGTGTGACATGGAGGGGCAGAAATGTGACACGAGGGGAGAAATGTGACATGGAGGGGGCAGAAATGTGACACGAGGGGCAGAAATGTGACGCGAGGGGGAGAAGTGTGACATGGAGGGGCAGAAATGTGACATGAGGGGAGAAATGTGACATTGTGGGATTGACATAAAAAGGGTTGATGTGAAAAGGGGGGTGTGGACATAAAATTGCGGAATATCGTAATCTAGGAGCCAACAAAATAAGTTAGTGGCCAGGTTCTGAGGTCAATATATAACAGTACCAGTGAGGACTATTTGAGTGTGTTTTCACATACTTTTATATGTACTTTTTTAGTTGTATCTTGATTTTTATTTCATTTTATGTTGTTATTTTTTACTTTTATTCAACTTGACTGCAGAGCCAGTGCAATGTGTGCATGCCTGTTTTATTACTTTTACTTCTTGCCTACTATTTGGGTGTATCCATCAAGGTGGAGAACCCTGCTTAAAATATCCATGATGAGCCCCACTAATTTTATAATACTATTTACACACATTAAGATGCCATATATGCGTCATCCACAGATAAATACCAGTGCGTCATCCACAGATCCCCCATAACAGTGCGTCATCCACAGATAAATACCAGTGCGTCATCCACAGATCCCCCATAACAGTGCGTCATCCACAGATAAATACCAGTGCGTCATCCACAGATCCCCCATAACAGTGCGTCATCCACAGATAAATACCAGTGCGTCATCCACAGATCCCCCATAACAGTGCATCATCCACAGATCCCCCATAACAGTGCATCATCCACAGATAAATAACAGTGCGTCATCCACAGATAAATAACAGTGCGTCATCCACAGATCCCCCATAACAGTGCATCATCCACAGATAAATACCAGTGCGTCTTCCACAGATAAATAACAGTGCGTCATCCACAGATAAATAACAGTGCGCCATCCACAGATAAATAACAGTGCATCATCCACAGATAAATAACAGTGTGTCATCCACAGATAAATAACAGTGCATCATCCACAGATAAATAACAGTGTGTCATCCAATATTACTTCTTTTATGTGATTAAGGATGCCGGTTTGGTGTTGGTGGCTTTATTTTAAAATGAAACATTTTTATAGGTGCCCTGTTTGACATGGCTACAAAGAAAAAACAACGAAAAACGGAAGACGAAAACCGTGAATTTAAAGTGGAATGGACCGAGACTTTCGCGTTTCAGAACGTAAGTGGCTTTCCGACCTGTCTTATTTGTAAAGAAAAATTGGCGCATAACAAAAAATCTAATTTGGAGAGACACTTTACAACAAAACACTTGTCCTTTAGTAATAAATATCCTGTTGGTGATGCAAGGAAGAAAGCAGTTGAGGAACTTCTGAAGAGTCAAGAAAAATCAAGTTCTGCGTTTAATCAGCGGGTGCAGTCTTCCAACTATGTTAATTTTGCAAGTTTTGCGGTTAGTCAAGAGATTGCTAAGAGAGGCAAACCATATACAGATGGCGAATACATAAAAACGTTGTTTTATAAGTGCATCAGAAGAGTTATTCAGGGATTTTAAGAACAAA